ACACAGCCCCGTCACACTGCAGCCTGAACACACCACACAGCCGGGCCATACAACACAGCCACTGGTACACTACAGACCTGGAGACACACACCCTGCCCTGCTGCTTCTGCACACAACACACCGCCTGTTACACTACAGCCTGGACACACAGCGTTGTCTGTGTGTTAAAGACATTTCATTCACAGACTAAAATACCTCTTTTACGAGGGGCACATACCTCTTTGGTATAAAAATTGTTTAAATTAAACACAAACACTTTGTTAAAGGGGAACTGGAGTCCCATTTTCCTAAATCTCGGTAACAAAATAAATTAATTGACGTCATAGAAACATTTTATAAATTTTGAATTAAGCACAAGATCGTGAAACTTTGTGAAAGTACTGCAAGTCGCCATGTCACAAACCCCTGGTCTCACCTCGGGCAAGAGCAAGAGTTTTCCCGAATTGCAATGTTAGGCAGCCCTTCCTGCTCAACAGTCACCATAATGACTGATGTAACCTGATGTACAATCAAACAAGTACAGGTTGTGCAGCAGACATTTCACAGCAGAAATGTTCCAATGTGACCTGCATTCAGAGTTAACAAGTAGTATGTTTCAGCAAAACCATCTTAATGTCAAAAGCAATCTTTTTATTGGATTAAAGGAGATGTATTCATACAGTAAGCCCACTTGTTTACAATGTATGAAGGCCTCTTCACATCACTGGAGTTTTTCTGCCTCGTTCTGAGTTACAGAACATGGCGCTGCACAAACCTGGAATACAGATCACATACAGTATCTATTTTGTGATCTAAATTGGAGATTTAACTTTCATTGTGGTTTGAAATGTGCTCATCAATGCCGATTCTAAACCTGGAATATAAAATTAGCATTGCAGTTCCCTTTTAAAATCTGAAAAGGCAGGCAGATCAACACAAAATTACCAAAAACACTCCCTTAATGCAAGTCGCAAAATAACTAACTTATCCTTTAAACAAGTCATCGCTGTCTCAAAGCAAGAACAGGACAATTGAATAAGGTTGAAAAGTAATGATGTACTATTAATGTCTTGCTGTTTGTTCTAGTAATTTCACCTGGTTCGCAAAACAGAATTTTCTTTAATGTGTTGAGTTTGCTCCAGCTCTAATATTCTAACTGTTGCTTTTGTACAACTTTCCTTTTCTACATCTACCTCTCCAGACAGCGGCAGTGTTTCTGTGGGCCACGAGCAAGAACTCTTTTCTGCGGCTCCCAGAAAACCCTGCTGCTCTTCTTCCTGGAGCGCTGCTGAAATGCGAGAGTGACGCTCGGACCAGGTGAGGAACAGAGCCAGCCTCTCGCCCCCGGTGCAGACCTGTTGCCCTGCCCTGGAGTGGCCTGAGGCCCTCGTGCCCTGCTCTACCTGTGATTAAGATGTTCAAAAAAGCAGACACCTCGCTTCATGGCTCCAGGGCGGACAGTGCCTATCTCTTGCCCATCTTAGCTATGAAAGGCATTCAAAAGGTTTGCGTGTTTGCGTGTTTGCGTGTAAACAGCGACAACATAACATCTGCACTGCGCTTTTTGTCGGTGTAATCATCCCTCATGGGAACGCACTCAGCCATCTATTTCCTGCAAATGAAAATCTCCCACTGACTGCATTCGCCCAGCCACTGCTCCGACTTCTTGTCAGAGGGCAGACTTCAAGGAACCTTCTTCTCAGAAGCGTTTGTCAAATAATACAGGCTTCACATGCCAGGACACATTCTGTAATAGTATCTCATTTAGGTCAGGGCTGCTGGGCGATTATTCAACGGTTCAAACCCACGCAGTGCAGCCCGGGCCTGGTGCACTGTAATGCAGCAGCACAACTCCATGAACTTGTGCATTGTCGCATGCTCACATTGTATCCCCCTCTCTTGAGTTTTACTCAGCCAGGTCAGCAAATCAGCATAATGCTGAAGACCGAATGCATTGATTTTTGTGGCCCTTGTCTACATCTGTACCTGAATTCGGAATTGTTAAGCTTTTGGTTTCCAGTCATGATTGAAGTCCCTCACTCATTGCATCACAGCGATTAGTTTGATTAGTTTCACTTTCTCCTGTATTACATCTTCCCTGCATACGCAACTGACCACAGTGTGTTTCTAATCTCTGATTAGTCTGTTTTCCAAAGACCTTGCTATGAACAGAGCTGGATTAGTTTACTGCAAATGGTGATTCGAACATGAATAGAAGCAGAAAATTTATAGATTTATTAAACTGTATAACAGCATAAAAGCCACCATTTGAGTGGCAACCATTTTGGATACTCCTTCAGGGCAGTAGGTTCAGCAAGATGGCAGATACCGTCTGAACCTCATCACCCAGAAAACAGTTTGTGTGACAATTATATGCCACACCAGAGGGAAGAAGGAACTCACCAACTGGCATATGGACATTGCATTGTAATCTTTTTGTTAAAAAATGTTGATGCTGGAAAGCAGTTTAGGCATGCAGCTCTTGACAGACCAGGGACCGCAGCAGAAGAAAAAGAGAGTGCAGATTGTGTGTCTGGTTTGGCTTGTGTTTTGACTGTAAGTGCTGTCTGTGTATCTGCTGCCCTTGACCTGCCTGTTTAAAAAGGACTTGCTGCCACACCACGCCCCTGGAGGCATCCCAAGGCGAGCTGCAACAGAAAGCCTTGAACGTCTTGGTGGTGACAAGACCAATGGCCACCAGTCAGATGGTTCTTCTGTCTGATAAACCATTATTTTTAGCATCACCTTTCAACAGTAAAACGTAATACCAGCCAAACTGCTTTGTTCAATAAGACCCAAGTCTGTTTGTGTTACTGTGATTTTCCAGTACCTATTGTCTTTTGCTTACAACTTTTTTTTCTGACATTCACCAAGGCTCTCTGCTGTGCACCTAAGAAGTCACAGAACACAACCATTGCAGTACAGCAGCACATCAGATCAGATACCGGTACTTTTCCTACAGCGATCTTACAATACTGACAGTTCATGTCCAGATATTGGATACAAAAACTTGCATTCAGCTCAGTGAAATAACACTTCACAGGATAAAAGCTGTTTAAATATATCATAGAGGCAAGAGGGCAAAACAACTCAGGATTAACAAGTCACACACATTGACAATATTAAAAAACATACTTCTTCCATATAGCATCTTTTGGAACACAGCAGGTGAGAAGGCAAGAGTGTGTGACAATGCAAAATATATTAATACTCCAGTTATTCTGAAATTTTAATCAGTAAATATTTATAAAGGCAGCACATAAAACTCCCAAAGAGCACACTACCCCAAGCAGGTGGGCTGTATTACCCTTGTTTTATGAACACAATCTTAATAATGTGCATTTCTGTTTTTACCTTATCAGCTTTTTCTTCGGGTTCGTCTTCAGTAAGAAATTCTCTTTTAGGGTATGGTATTTGACATCCAGCAAAAACACTGAAAGCGAAATAATGCAAAAATTTAATATAAAGCAATCGAGTGAGCTCACTGGACACATTAACTTCAATCAGCCTTTTATCCAGGCTTTGATACCTGTCCAGCTGACTTCATTACTTGCCCACACCATCAGTGAGGACTTATTTTGCCAAGAAAAGTGACCTTGAAACCACCAGAGTGAAGGAAATTACAGAAGTGATTGAAGGTAATTACATTAAATATTATAATAACTTCTGAATGCATTTGATTTTTTTCCCAGACTCCCCAGTTTTATGGCAAGACATAATTTGTATTTAGTATTTAGTGAGGAATATAAATTAATGCTGTTGTCAGAGAGAAATGCTACGTTTAGGAGTTTGTTATCACCTAGATGTGTCCAAAGCATTTGTTTTGCATTATAAATAGGACAATGCCTTAAGATAGCAATGCAGCAAAGTTTCACAAACTGCCAGTGTCCCAGCATTTGTCTTTTGTAACTTTCCCAATAAGACAGCACTAGAAACAGAAAACATTAGATGTCTAATAAGCAACTGAAGCTCCTGGCTTGTGTATAAATTAACACATATTTCAAAAACACAGAAAAAACAAAAACAAAGTGAGAAACATTTTAAGAAATGTTTCCAGCACATGATTATTAAACACCTCACGTTAGGTGAATACGATCTCTAATGTAATTATAAGTGACACAAATAAAAATAGGAAGGAACAAACTGGTTAAGTAGGAAATCTTTCAGTTTTCATAATATTTCACAGTTCTGCATTTTAGGTAGTTTGGCTCTTTAAAGAAATGAGCAGCCCTTTAATCTTCTGTACTTTTTAACAAAGAAGCAGAAGGCCAAAAACAAGATAAAATCCTAGGACTGGCGTCAGAGACTTTGTTGGTTTTCTGTTAGCAGTAGATTATCCAGGACATTGGTAAAAACACAAATGCAGGACGGATGATATATCTTTTTTCAAAGGTTGCAAAGCATTCAAGCTCAAAAATGCCTGCGAGTACCTTTTAAATTAGCAACTAGATGCTGAAGAATCCATCTGATAATGAATACTGGACTTGCATGACACTGGTTGTGAGATTTTCCATCCTTTCCCGGTCCACAGAAGTCGTGGACAGATAACACGCATCGCAGAGCAAGATAACACCCCCTCTCATCTAATCATGGTGTGCGAACAACCAGAAAGCAAATCAAGAAAAGGCCAGACAGCCCGTGTCTGATCACATCTATCTCATTTACAATATTTGTGTGTAAATATTACAAATATAATGCTCTTGAAATGGCAATATGCATGCTGATAAGCGAGTGAAAATCCTAACCCGAACCCTCCAGGTGGGATTTAGCTGCACAGAATACAGCTGTGGGAAGGAGAAGTGAGGTGCTGTACATACTCAGATGTAGGCAAGGGATCCTCGAGGAAATAAGGATCCTGCAGAGCCTGCTCTGAAGTGATCCTTTTCGTTGGATCCATAGTAAGGAGTTTCTGCAGCTGAAATAACAAATCATTGAAAATTAACATAAAGAAAACAGCTTCAGGCAATTCCAGGTTTCGTCCTAATTCATCCAGGACCTACACAGAAACCACATTTGAAAGGCAGAACTTAACGCCTAAAGGTGCACATTATGTGGCAGCACGGTTGCGTGTCAGTCTCTGCTGTTGCCTCATAGCTCTGCGAACCTGGGTTCGATTACGGATACGGGCACCTTGTGTGTGGAGTTTGCATGTCGCTCCCCAGACAGATTCGCTGCTTTCCTCCCACCTCTCAAAGCCGTGCATGTGTCTCTAAAGCGTGTGTGCGTGTTCTGCGACGGCCTGGCATTCTGGCCAGGCTGAAGACGCTGCCTTGTGCTCCAAGCGCCCAGGACAAGCTCTGGGCTGCTGCCATATGTCCCAAAAGTAGCCTTCCACACTTTGCCCTCGTTCTGGACAGAACTGGCTAGTTATGCCTTACTTATATAGTTCCAGCGCCACAGGGCACAGAAATCAAAGCTTTTAGAGTGTATACTTCGGTACAGAGGTGTTTCCTTCTTCTGAAAAGCTGCAGCAAAGCCTTTTGAGGTTATTCAAGAGATACTTACCAGCAAGAAGACCTTGCTGTCGGGTTTCACTTTATGTTTTTCCATGTATTTGATAAGGCTGCTGTTTGCATACCTGAAAAAAGTCAAGATTAAAAAAGATCAAAAGAGGCAACAAAAAGGAGATATGAATTTCAAATGAATTTGAACTACCACTATGAAATGAAGAGTAAGCCGAACCAAACTGCCTATGCGAAGCAGAGGTCAAAGGGAGGCGCATCACTGAAAAATGCTGGATGCGAGACGTGCTGTATTTCTTTGACCCTACTCACGTTGTTCTCCTGAAGTCTTTCTGAAGTGTGGGGTATTCTGGCATTTTTCTAATATCTTCCCAATCTTTATCTATGGACGAAAAAAAGACAAACTAATACATTATATTTCAGTAAGAAGCGCCTTCTGAAACATAGTACACATGTAGAAATTAACCATATCCTTACAATTTTTATTTTTTGCTTAGCAAGTAACCTTACAAAGGTAGAAGAAATGCAATACAAATCAGTACGATAACTTCAAGCAGGCAGCTGCATCAGCATGCGTAGGCTGCAAAGGAACAAATAAAGGCTTATTCTCTGCTGGAAAGAGAAAACAGAAAACACAACGTTTTGTCTGTGGAGCCTTCTTCGGTTTACACCTTGAGTGTTATTTTCACTCGTGACCTGGAATGTTTCCTAACGCCTTCCTTACAGTGGTTACATGAGCTGAGGGGAGTAGACACTGCAAACACGACCTGAGAGAGGCAACACCGGCACCGTGAAAACGAACAGAAATCAGAGGTCATGTGTTCTGCCACGCGGTGCGTGTGTGTGTCCACCCTGCAGAACCGACCTGTACGGCGCTTTGAGTGGACTGGCGAGAAGAGAGCCGTGAAAAAAGTGTGCGGAATTATGATTGACTCTTCTCATTATTATTTTTACAACTAGTAATAACAACCACTGTCACCAGTTCTCAAATCTCTGTTAACGAGATTCCAGGTAAGGCCATGCGGCACATCTCTATTAAAAAATGAGGAATTAAACTCACACTTTAGTCAATAAAAATGGACTAACATTCGAGAATTTTCCGATTCTGAATGTTCGCCCCCTCTGCTGTGGGAGATCACCAAGGATGATTTAAGAGGTGCTACCATCCCATATTTAACCACCCGAAAAGCAACTACACACACCCTGAAAATATGAGAGCTGTTTGCCCGGTCTCCCTCCATTGCCAATCACAAAAATAACTTTCAGGCAAAATCAGAACTTAATAACAGAATAACTGAGTGGGCGGGAGTTATGCTAACAACACGGAGACGAAGGACGTTTGAATTTGGCGATAAGATGGGACGATTACTTGCAAGTCCGTTAAAAACAAATCTGCTTCGCTTGTCATTAAGGGGATTTAGCAGGAAATCTGACACCAGATCCATAATAAATTGACGATATCACAGTGTGCACTGCCTCCCCTCCAGACATGTGGCAGGGTGATGCTCTGTGGTTAGAGTGGGCGACCCTGGAACTCCTTTCCCCAGTAACCCCAGTGTGTGTCCCCTCCCTGCAGCTCTAAGGAGGTCAGCCTGCGCTTTTGTTCTCAGGTGTCTGGGACCCCTGTAAACAGACAGGGGCATTAAAGCTCAGTCTCTCCACTAATTCTCTCAGGTCTTGAAAAATAACCTCGCGTTACAGTGTTTTCAAATCACTCTGCGCTGATTTGCACAAACCTGGACCTGAAACCAAACACGACAACACAAACTTTCTTCTTACCAACACAGTACTACCTAACCAAGCCAAATCTCAAGCATAAGGCTGAGGTGGTTTACAACGGTGAAAGAGTTACATTACCAGTGTTCACTAAGTAAAATGGGAAATAAAAAGGAACTGATGGCTACCAGGTAGAGGTAGAATTCTTTAAAGTATTTCTGGACAGGTACATCCCCAACATTGTTAAAACTGGCAGAACATGTCATTGCTTCTATGAATCTTCCTCATTCATAAAACTCTGCACTCATGTCAGTAACACTAAAACAAATTTAGATCCTTCACTTTGCTCCAGTTCCCACCTCTTATCTCTCCTTAATGTAAATATAAAGATAAGCAGCGGGAGACTCAGTTATTCCACTACTAGCTTATCCAGATCAAGGCAGCTTTGTGAGAGGCAGACACTGACCCAGAAACACTGGGCGCCTAGAATTCAGTTTGATTCATGTGCTGAAGAATACCAACACTCTCACAGGAGTGGTACACCACCTGTATGTGTCTCTGAGCATAAAGCAGCCAGCCTTCCACAGTCAGCTTCAGAGTCGCAAAGCTCTGGCATCCCAAAACCCGTAACCCTCTCCCTCCACCCTAAAGCCACACTCAACCATTCACAACCTTTGCCATTTAACCTTTACACTCAGCCTTACTGCTGATCCTGTCGGGCCAGGGACGCTAACCAGAATCCAAACCAGTGTCCCTGACACAACAGCAGTTAGGCCTGCTGTTCCCTGACCAGTGTGCTCCGTTGCCGATGGGAGAGGGCAAGACCAGAGCCTCCAGCCCTTGGAGTTAACCCACGCTCAGAGAGTTAATCCTCCCCTCCCAGTTTTCCCTTCGTTAACCACATGGAGCAAACCCGCTTCCCGGGTGGTGACTTGGGAGATATTCAAGGTATTCAAGCCAACCGTGCTTCTCCCTTCAACCACCTAACCTATCCAGCCATGTTTCAAACTAACCCTTCTGCCCTCACAACACAGGGCCAGCTGTTCAATCTCCTAACTGGGCGCACTAACCAGAGATTGATGTTACCAAGCGACTGCGCTCGTCACCTCTCTCCAAAACCATCAAAGACCCTTACAACTCCAAAACTTCATCTTATTCCCGGAATACGATGTCCAACAAACAAATCAATCAATCAACTAATCAATCAATCAGGTACTGAGAGCCGAGCTGTTAATCTCCTAGCCGGGAGCTTTAGCCAGAGACCGCTGTTGCTGGTTGACTGCTTCTCTCTGTAGATCTCACAATTTCTCTATTTAACAAGACGGCACAGTGCTGTGCTTCTCCCACATGCAAATTTGGGCACTTAACCTGCATGTATCAGTCTCTTTAAAACCTTCAAAAACAACCATCAGATGTCAAAATGATTCTCCTGAAGCCCCAGCCTACCAAACCCCACAGTAACAGCAGTGCCCTAACAGCTCCAGGTCCCCATTTTAAGACCGATTACTGGCGATCTGCCCCGGTGGGTATACTCTCCTCTGTCACAGTGGTCCGAAAGAATTTTCACAATTAAACTTGTTTTTTTCTTCTGTGACTGTCCTGAAAATATATGGCTTTATATCGCTTGACAAAAACCTCAAAATTATTTTATCTTTTATTAGAAAAATACAAATAACCCAGAAAAAAAACAACAACTGTTCAACAGAGTAAAACCAGAGGGGGGACTTTCAGCACCAAAGCTCCTCAATTACTGTCTTTAAACCACCTGAAGTTAAACTACCTTTTGAGATGGAACCGAACCACCCAGAGCAGTGGCAAACCCATATTGGTTAGACGGAGAACACAGTTTGTATCTCACTTGACAAAACATAGCTATTTTAAAAACCCATGTGTACCAAGCTATTTAAAAAGCAGATGGGAAGCAATTAAACTCATCACGAGTAACTTCTCAATGTGTTTGAGGTCTCCCATACGGCACAACCCAGACTTGACGGGAGACCCTCTGTGTTCAAAGCACGGTTACAAAGGGACATACTGTACGGTGCACTGAGGCAACGTGTTTCTCATCTGAAAAACTGAAGGACCCGCAGGCCAGTGTGAGGCGGTGAGAGGAAGCTCCCTGTCAATTGGACAAGACTGCCTGCGGAATGGGGCAGCGCTCAATTGACTGAGCCATCAGCCCTCAGGGAGTGAAATTCCACGTGAAGGAAGTGCCACATGTCAGGATAGGCCCTGCCTGGAATTAGCTACTCCTCTGGGCTAATTAAGAGCCTAATATGAATCGCCACGAGGAAAACAGTGTCAGTCTGCGTCTGGGCTCCGGCCTGGAAGAAGGGAGAGTGAGAAATCCAGAGGGATGGGGGCGGGCGGAGCGGTGGCTCTGTGGCTGGAAGGCTGCCGGTTCGTGTCCCGCGGCCGGCAGAGGAATCCTACTCCCTTGGGCCCCTGAGCAAGGCCCTTCACCCCAGCTGCTCCAGGGGGGCCGTATAAATGTCTGACCCTGCGCTCTGACCCCCAGCTTCTCTCCCCCTGTCTGTGTGTCTCAGGGAGAGCAGGCTGGGGTCTGTGAAAAGACAAATTCCTAATACAAGAAATTGTAAAGGGTTAATAAAGTGATCTTATTAGTCACGGACTGGATTGGAGAAAATACTGCTTAGGCTTTACCAAGGGACAGGCAGGGCTGCAGGGTCACTCAGTTGCCAGGCTCAGTGGGGCACCTGGATGAGTGGGGTGTCTCTCGGCCAGGTGGCAAGCATAACTTCCCCCCAGATGGCACCGGCTGAGCCCCGGGGGGCAGGTGGGGGGGTCCCTGACTGCGAGAGCTGGAAAACGCCAGCAGCCATATCACCCTGCAACTCACAACTGGCAACCCACTGAAGCTAAGCAGGTGTGAGCCTGGTCAGTACCTGGATGGGAGACCTCCTGGGAAAGACTAAGGTTGCTGCTGGAAGAGGTGTTAGTGGGGCAGTAGGGGGCGCTCACCCTGTGGTCCATGTGGGTCCTAATGCCCCAGTATAGTGATGGGGACACTATACTGTAAACAGGCGCCGTCCTTCGGATGAGATGTAAAACCGAGGTCCTGACTCTCTGTGGTCATTAAAAAATCCCAGGGCGCTTCTCGAAAAGAGTAGGGGTGTAACCCCGGTGTCCTGGCCAAATTTCCCATTGGCCCTTACTAATCATGGCCTCCTAATAATCCCCCTCTATGAATTGGCTACATTACTCTGCTCTCCTCCCCACTGATAGCTGATGTGTGGTGAGCGTTCTGGCGCACTATGGCTGCCGTCGCATCATCCAGGTGGATGCTGCACATTGGTGGTGGTGGAGGGGAGTCCCCATTACCTGTAAAGCGCTTTGAGTGGAGTGTCCAGAAAAGCGCTATATAAGTGTAAGCAATTATTATTATTATTATTATAAAACAACAACCCGGGCTGCCGTTGTGTCCGAGATGCAGGTGCTGTTTGCCGGGGACACCTGCCTGTGAACTGGAACAGCCTGGAAGGTGAGAGCTGGGAAAAAAGACCTGCGCTGAAGCGATTTGAGTGAACACAGTGATTTGGGTGAAAAGGAGTTATGTTAAGCTAATACTCTAGTGCCTGGTTGTGTTACAACAATACAGACCGACGAGGAGGTGAAAAGGACCGTGCTGTCTCCCCTTAGTGCGGAAAGAGCTCGGATCCCGGAAATGGGCTTAAAGATCAAGATGGACCATTTAAAACTTGAAAAAAAAAGCTGACATGCTCGCAGTGCTGAGATTACTCCTGAGAACTGCTGCACACACATGATGAAGCTGTTGGAATGTGCTGATGAATGCTTGGAGGACATCCATACTTCAGAAGGACCCTCCAGAGGAATTCACTCATTCACAGAGAGAGGTGCCTCTGTCATGTCAAACAATGCTAACTAGAGGCGACAGTGTGTTTCCTGACATTTCCTAGGAGCTGAGAGTGTAAAAGGGGCCTCTCCCTTCGGGGGTCTGAAATCACCCTGGGATTCTGGGAGAGCAAGAGCAGTGATTCAGGAGAAGTTTTGTAATGAACTTGATGGCAGCAGACAGCCGAAAGATCCCTCTGTAATTCCCACAGATGGATTTATCTCCTTCGTGAAAAACTGTCACAACCGCAGCGTCCTTGAAGTCACACAGGATCACCTCCTCATTCCAGATCTATGATGAGGCCATGGAGATATAGCAGAAATTCCTGTACGCAGTGGCTTTTCAGCGTTTGCATGACGGCTTTCATCACCCAGTTAATTGTTGTTCGGGTTCCGATTAGAGACAAGCTTAGACATTGTGGAACTGAAGGAACTGAATAAAACACTCGACAAAGGATCTGTGACTGAAGAGATCTTCCCTGGGTTTTGACTGCTTTCCTTGATCAGGCCTCCACCTTCCTTAGGCCAGAAACGTACGGGTCTTTGGGCTCTCCTAAAGAGTTTTTAGTAGAAGACTGTAAGGTGGTTGAATTTCTTTTGACACTGTCCACTTAACACTTGACATCTGAGCCGTCTTTTTCAATTGCCATTAAAGTTGCATATAGTAGAAAAGATGCATACCTATGTTACATAATTTTATGAATATTCTAAGACTGGAAATATTATGAAAGTCATCTTCAGGTCTCAGATTACTTACCTGTCAAGACATTTTCATCAACAAGGCTGTGTAAATTAGTTGTATAAACTTTGACAAGGAGCTCCCTCATGACCAATATATCAGTGTTGTGAGATGAAGGTGTATTGACACACAAACACGACACAGAATTGAAGTGAGGTAAACACAGGATGTTTGTAAAGCTAAGAACCTGTAGGAATGCAGGTCACGTGTGAAAAACATGAAAGTCTTACTTCTTTAGAAGCTGATATGTAAATGTATTGTGTCTACCTGCAGGAAAGCCCATTACACTGAATATCCTGTCCAGCTGATCGTGGTGAAAGGGGTTGCTGGTCTTGATGTCCTCCTGACGACAGTGAAAGATCGGCTCCGATGTTAGAAGCTCGGCGAAGATGCAACCGATGGCCCAAATGTCTAGAAAAGAAAAAAGTGTAAAAAACAAATGTTCATCAAAGCAATTCGATAAAAGAATCAAAAGAGGCAATATATGTATAATTCTGAAGGGTACAAAAAAAGATTTGAGCGAAACTTATGAACCAAAATCTCTTCTGCATTTATACAGAACGGTGGGCAGCAGTGTGGTGCTGTGGTTTGGGCTCCAGACTCTTGATGAGGAACACAAGCTCAAATCCCAGGTGAGGACACTGTTGCTACAGCAGTGAGCAACATACTACTGTCTAGACCGATCCAGTAAATACAGCTGTATAAATGGGCACCTGCATTTGTATGCAAATCACTCTAAATAAGAGCGGTAGTCAATATGAATATTATTAATAAAAACTATTCTATTAAGTACTTCATTATTTTTAAAGAATATGGCATTTGACTATTGTTCAAGGGCTCATATATTAAAAAAAGAATTTCAAGAGGTGTACAATTCGGAATTTTAATTATTGTATGTGACCAGGATGAATATCATTAAGTTGACTCCACATTGTGGATTAAAATATGATATTTTTTAACAGGTTACAACAGAAATTAGATTTGGAAAAGCAAGCCCAGCAGGGTGGCCGACAAATGTGTTTTCTCCAGTGTGATAATTAAGAGATATACCCCACAGCTTCATCTGACTAGTCTTTCAACATAGGTGACATAAGATGAGTCAAAGTAGCCGATGACTTGCACAGCAAGCACTGATGAAAACAAGCCAACGAAAACTAAGAGACCAAGCCAATCATGACACTGGGGCTGTGGACCATAAGGCATCGTACTGAGACCTTGTTCCAGTGAGAGTAAGCACTGGAGCAAGTATCATTTTTCCTCAAAACAAAATACAAAATTAATAACAAAACCGCCTTCAGAAATAATTCTGTTAAGCACTAAAATGTTTATTTTTTCATATGGCATAATAAAAGCACAATTACATAGCATTAATTTGTTGTATAATTTGCACCTTGCAATGCCTTATGCACTTTAACTCAAACAACCCATGTTTAAATTGAGAAGTAGTTTGTTTAAACACCTGAAACATTTGAGATGCATAACATATTTGTTAGCTGATGTCAGACTTGGTAGCCAGACAAAAATGTAGAAATGTGTTTCTGCAGTTTTTATTTTATAGGTTTTGATCATGGTTACAATGCTTATGGCTATGCGCCTTTGATCAGCTAATTTCAGGTCTGACTTGCTTTTCTTGTTTTTTAGATTTTGGGAAATCCATAGCTAAAAGCTACTGAAGATGAATTGCTACCAGAATCCTGATTAAACAAAATGCTTAGTTCTGTGGTTATGTGTCTATACAGTATGTGTGAGGACATGTCATTTTCACTTGGGTATGTATCACAAGGCATGGTCAATTATGTCCTGGGGTTCCGTGGGTTGTTAACATCTCCATTTACGACTGAAAAACCTGGAATTTACTTAGGAATTTGTCCTCACAAAAATATTCACCCTGACCAATGATATCACATTTTCAGAAATTAAGAACATAAGAATAATTACAAACAACAGGACACCATGCAGCTCATGCAGACTACATGATATAAGTTAATTGACACAGATGAGCAGAAGTATGTGTTACTTGGGTGTTACACGCCGTATGTAGTGGGGCGGAGCGGTGGCTCTGTCGCTAAGGATTTGCGTCTGTGGCTGGAAGGTTACCGGTTCGTATCCCGTGGCTGGCAGAGGAATCCTACTGCGTTGGGCCCCTGAGCAAGGCCCTTCACCCCAGCTGCTCCAGGGGTGCCGTATAAATGGCTGACCCTGCGCTCTGACCCCCAGCTTCTCTCTCCCTGTCTGTCTGTCTCCTGGAGAGCAAGCTGGGGTATGTGAAAAGACAAATTCCTAATACAAGAAATTGTATAGGGCCAATAAAGTGATCTTATCTTATATGTTTCACACACACAAAAGAGCTGTGAAGATCTAGGCACGGTTGAGGTCTTTAACTTAAATTAGCCAACAAAACCCAACACGAAGACCAGAGATCTCACTATGACAGAACAGAAGGCCATTTTCAAAATGAGAGGAAAGAAATGGACCATCAGAAAAATCAAGGCTCTTGGCATTACAAGATCAACAAGTCTGGAATGTTCTTCAGAAAAAACGAAAGAACTGGAGGAGTCAAGAACAGACTGAGAACAGGACAAAAAGACAAATAAAGTGAATGACAGAAAAATATATCTACTGTTAAGTGTTAAGAAAACCCCCCAAAATTTATTTTAGTGAAATCAAACGATCTCCAGAGTGTGGGGGTGCAAATCTCGAGTACCACAATCCAGAGAAGACTTCACCAAGAAAGCCTCAGAGGCTGAACTGCAAGGTGTCGGCCCCTCATCAGCAGCAGGAACAACAGAAGAGCTCGAGTGGCATTTGCAAAAATAAAAATACAGAGATGAGCCACAGGAGTTCTGGAATAAGGTCTTATGGACAGAAGAAACATCTATCAAAGTGATGGAAAGGCTAAGGAGTGGAGAACAACAGGAACAGCCAATAACCATAAGCACCCCACTTCTTCAGTAAACCATGCTGAAGGGAGTATCATGGCTTGGACATGTATGTCTGACTCCAGGACAGGCTCACTGGTCTTTACTGGCGACTTAACTGAAGATGAATTCAGGGATAAACAGATCTTGTAAGAAGGAATGGCAGAAGACTTATTGGGCGGCAGTTCATTATGCAGCAGGACAATGTGCCGAAACATACCGCACGGGACAGAAAAAGTGGGAACTTTTTAAACTGGCCAAGTCAATCACCAGATCTGAATCCAACTGAGCATGCTTTTCATTTGTTCAGAAGGAGACTGAAGACAGGAAGCCCCACCAACAAGCAGCAACTTAAAGAGGCTGCAGTTAAAGCCTGGCAAAACATCTGGCAAAGTGCAGCAAACAGGTGTCTGGTGATGTCAATGACATTGTTCTGCAAATTTTAATGGCCGATTAGTATTTATTTGTATTTTTCAAAGGTGGGATGCCAGCTGTGAGCTGCAGGTTGATATAGCTGCTGGCTTAGTACAGCATTCCTCACACACAAATGATCCGCCTGGGACAGCCGACAGAAGGAAACCTTTCCTACGACTCCATCACAAAGGTCAACGTCAGGAGTATGCAAAACAAAACCTTGAGAAGCTGGAAAGGTTTTAGAACAAAGTGCTGTGGGCTGATGAAACAGAGACTGAACTTTCTGGCCACAACCATGGCAGATACATTTAGAAGCATTTGAAGAAAAAAACACCTTGCCACCTGTTAAGCACGGGGGTGGATCTATTTTGCTTTTGTCTGTGTGGCAGCCAGTGGCACAGGAAATATTGGAAAAAATGGATTAAACTAAAGCTAATAAGCTCATATCCTGGAGTCAGTGAAGAAACTGAAGCTGAAAAGCGGGTGGATATTTCAGCAAGACGACATTCAGAAACATACCTCAAAGCCAACCATGAGGTACTCAACAGGATGAAGGTTTTGGAATGGCCTGTATAGTCCCCAGACTTCAATATTACTGAAAATCTGTGGAGAGACCTCAAACATGCAAGACATGCAAGAAGACCTAAAAATATTTCTGAACTAGGCAAATAAACATTATATGCCAGATGTACAGATAATTACTAGATTATCTGTGTGTCAAATGTCTCATGTAGCAGTGATCTTAAAGTGACACTTCCTAAGAAGTGAGAAAAGCTATGGTGGCAGAATGTCATGTAGGTGAGCACTGTCTCGCAGCTCTTGAGTGCTGGGTTCAATATTGGGAAACCTTCTGTATCGAGTTTGCATGTTCAACACGGGGTTTTCCCCTGGAGTTGCCTTCAGGAAGCGTTTGGGAGCTGGCGTTTCTGTCAATGGAGGCGTTACCACGTAATGATAAGAGTGCCCAAACTTTTGCACACATCATGTTCACTGTTTTACTAACCTGAATATCTACTAAACTGCAAACAGTAATTGTGCATTAAATTTAGACGGAAGATGTCAAGTTCAAGTTTGCACCACGCAGACTCTGCTTCTCCTTCTTTTCACTTGGATTCACAGAAACATACGATTTGACACCTACACAACTGTAGGTGCAAGAGGCAGAAATAACAGGAAGCGAAAATCAGGAAAGGAGTCTCTTTGGTCTAGAACAGTGGTTCCCAACCCTGATCATGGGGAACTACTGTGTTTGCAGTTTTTGTTCCAGCTGAGCTCTGAGGTACTGGTGCTAACTGATACTTTGAATTGATCTGTTTGATGGTTCAGACAGTAACTTCAGGATAAAGAAGGTTATTCCACCTTTCCTTAGATTATTAAGAGCTGGCTCCCTTTCCTCTGTCAAACAGCTCTTATCAGGTGATCGATACAAGATAAACAGACACAGGTGGCAAAGACAATTTATCCATCAAGCCCAAAAGTGTTTTCTTTCCTCATGGGAAGGTTCAGTTGGTTACATTTCTGCTAACACACCTGAATGAGGGCGATTCTGAAACGTCAGCACTGGTACAGGGTATATACCAATTTCAAACTCCACTGCAAAATACGATCCAAGTGCATTAAACGCAAAGGCATACACATTGGATTGACACAGAGGACATCTTTGGATTCTGTGTTTCAGGGACGTGTGATCACTGTGTAAACAATGTGATTGGAAATATTAATAAGGATCGGTTTGGGATGACGAATAGGAAACTCTTCTTCACAAAATCAGTTGCAGTGTCTCAAACGTGCTTCTCATTCACATGGTTAAAGCCCAAGCTCGTTTTTCAGAAGCAGGAGAACAGACTTTTAAATACACATGCGTTATAAAACTACCAAATAAGTAGACCTTGGAGGTTTGCATGTTAACAATATAAGTTATTTGTTTAGTTATCTGGGAATAAAACAGAATGTTGTTTGTTTTGACATAGAGCTTTATGAAAGGATTTTTTTTGACATATAGATATTACCCTGTTAGAAGTTAACTTACAAAATGATCCATCCCCATGGCAAAGTTTTTATATTCTGTTGCTACCTGAGCTCATGCTCTTGTCACTTTCAAATAGTTCAGTTCAGTTTTTTCAGCAGATGCACACATGAATTGAAATGCTTATTTGCATGTATGCTCTGACACAAAGACATTAAGGAATCATCAAAACACAATACAAAGAACAGCAGCTGCAACAACCATAAATAACATACAACTTAAAAAACAGGTCAGACAAGCAGTATGAGAAGAGAAGAAAGAAGCATCAGTTCATCAAAACATCAAACAGGACTTTGTATATATAATTTTCAGTATCCACGTCCTCCAGCTGGTCTAACTGATAAAGCTAAAACTGCTGAACGTATGTAAAAATGTGAGTTTCGGGTGAACTTTCCAAACCCTTTGCTACACCAACCCTAAACTAGCCCAGGTGAAAAAGAATCACCTGAATCTTCACTCTTCAATCATTCACTATGATTGATTCAACCTCGGTGTTTAAACACAAGCAGACAGCACTCAGGCCAAGTCCCCGCTGAGAGATACAGAAGTCCACGACACAACTCGGAAACCCATAAGGTAAAGGAGCATCAGCAAACCAACCATGGAGACCAAGAAGCTTTTGAAGCAGGCCCAGGCAGAAGTGGCAGAGATGCCAAGATCAGAAAGTTATTTAGCCCTTAAAGTACGGTCCAGTGAAATCAATCATTAAGAAGTGGATTGTGGATCATACAACCCTGACACTATCTAAACCAAGCTGCCCATCTAAACTGAGTGGAGAGGCAGGTGGGAAAGTGGTTAGGGATTCCCCTGTGTAGCCCTCAGTAACTTTGACAGATCAGAAACAAACTAGGTCTTAGATGGGAGTTGCTCTGCATAGTAAAGTATCCTAGTGATGGGGACTCTGTACTGTAAAAAGGCGTTGCCCTTGGGGCAAGATGTAAATGGAGGTCCTAACTCCCTGCGCTCGTTGAAAATCCCAGAGCATTTCTTGGAAAGAGTAAGGGTGTTAACCCTGGTGTCCTGGCCTTTACCCATCATGGCCTCCTAATAATTCCTGTCTGCGAACCGGCTTCATCACTCTGCTCTCCTCCCCACTGAGAGCTGGTCTGGGGAGCGGACTGGCGCATCATCCAGGTAAGGCTGCACACTGGTGGGGGTGAAGGGAATCCCCATTACCTGTAAAGCACTTTGAGTGGGGTGTCCAGAAAAGCATCGTATACAGCAAGTGTAAGGAGAGTCATGTACGTTTTGGCAAGAAGGACGCCCTTATTGAAACAGTTTCATCTTAAATCTCCTGTGCGAAACACTGCGGGCATGAGGCACAGGGCTTTACAGTCAGGCGAGAAAAACAGAACCTCCTGGTTTATATCCAAACAGTCGTGTCACGTCTGGTGCGAGCGGCACACTGTCAGCACCAGCCCAGCTCTCAGGCACGGGGACAACAGCAGCAGGTAACGAGGCAGCTGTCATCGGTGAGGGCTGAGTGGTGACACCGAGCGCAGCAGAGGCGAATTTGGGAGGGCGGATCACTGCGGGGGATTCTGCCAGGTACAGTAGGTGTAGCCTGCTTTGGTTTTTTTTAACGGGAAATTTCTACATTTTCTTCCTTTTTCTATGAAAAACTGTGCATTTAAGAAAGTTAGACACAGACAAAAAGGCCCGCTCTCATCTGTAACCTTCGTTACAATGTTCCTAAAGAGAGAAATACCCTAAAAAAAGACTTTGGGAGGATCTGGCTAACTGTTGATCAGCGTGCTTGCTGCTATAATCCCTGCACGTGCACGGGTGTAACCAGGACTAGAGGACTCTGACTTCCACCCCTCTCGCCAATGACACAGAGTGCACTAACTGGAGGAGCAGAGTATCTCTCCCTGCGGACCAATCACAGATGTCGCCGTGCTGGGGGAAAGCGAGGGTGCTCTGGCCGCCACCACCTCCAGCTCAACCTCATCACCATGCCAAGACTGACTGCAGACCTCCTGTGCCAGTCTGTGCCCTTCAGATAAATAATACTGACAAGCACAGGGCATGTCTGCTCTGACCTCAATGGAAGCTGTATACAGTGTATGTTGTCCTAGGAATGGGTGCCAGCAATAATATCAATAATATCAATAATAATAATAATAATAATAATAATAATAATAATAATATCACAGACAAATAAGTCTCTCTTTTGGCATGTATTTTAAGTATTGAAATTATTATTACTTCCGCTGGAGTTAATGTTGGTATTGACAACACCTGACCTGACCAGCGCGTGACCCACAACACGCACGACCTCCTTTGCCGTTATTGGCAACGCGTCGGAAGCAGAACACGAGATGTTGTTGCGGACGAAACCGGGACAAATCTCATTCTGCCCCCTCTGATATTCCGTGGCGCGGCGAAGGAGTGTGTGGTTTCTGCGGGCCGCCCAGCCCTGCGCCGGGAGAGCGGGCCTGGCGCGCTCACCGATGGCCTTCGTGTAATGCCGCGCTCCCAGCAGGAGCTCGGGGGCTCTGTACCAGAACGTCACCACCACTGGGTCCAGGTCCGCCAGGGGCTTGAGCGGGGAGTTGAAAAGCCTTGCAAAGCCCATGTCAGCTGCACGCAGAAACAAGAACAAAGGAATCAGCCTTAGACCAAACGTACACAAGACATTTTAACGTAGATGCTGGTCATCAGCAGGGCATGGCAAAATTAAACTGTGTAAGTATAAAATAATCAAACACAGGGCTGTACACCTGTAAAACAATTTGACAACTCAAATCTATTTTGCCATTATATGACATTTTGCTAAATCCCATGTTTGTTTTAGTTAACATGATGTCTTGGTAATGTTAAAGACAGAAAAGAACAATTCATACAGATCAATGTGTAACAGCTATTGTTTATGCATTCGCTTTCACAACATTCCCTGGTTACTTCCACTGTCGGGTTTCTGTGTATTGTTTATAACCTCACTTCCAGGGGCAGTCCATTTACTTTCTGTGCCTTCACACACACACACACTCTCTCCCTGCCCTGAAAGCATGCCTTTCTACACTGTCAGGCCCCACGTCAGGCACAGAGCTCGGCTCACATCTCCATAGCGCCGTAAATCAAAACAAAGGCAGTAAAATAAACTCATAAACCAGACATCCAGCACAGCCAGGTCAGAACAAGCTGCACTGACCAGATTTTGAGGGCTTTTGCTGATAAAACAAAAATTAAAGATTAACTTTAAACCTGTTTGCTCTGGTGAAGATTTGTCTCCCCCCTGCCTTAAACATTTAAACAGGAATTCATTTTTCCAGAGTGAAAAAGGTTTGCTCCCTTAATCCTTCACGGGTGCACAGTATCCACCAGCAGGGGTTTTGCACCATGGCACTTTTGTAAAAGTCGTGTTTTAAAACTTAATTAAAAATTAATTTGGGCAGTGACACCCAAAAAAACAAGGGTGTAACCTAACTCAGATAAGTAATGTGACCTTCAGTGTTGGCAACCTTTTGCAAAACACTGCTTCATAAGCACAAGAACGATTGAATATCTTCCACAGGATACTGCACACCATGAAACACTTACAAATTCCTAACCCATGTTCATCAAAAGCAATACGAGTGAAGAGGCTGTTTGACAATAAAATGGAAACTCTCTCAACATTATCTGAACTAGCATTCACGTCCTGTGCTGTAACTCGGCTCCAGGTCTTGATTGCATATTCTTGGCAGGGCCTGGGGACAGGTTTGCCAGCTGGTTTAATACCTTCTAACTGCACAGTCACTGCCAGGAAGCCGCGATAATCTCGCTACAAAATACTCTGACACGGTAAACATGGTATAATAACTCAGGCCGGAGCCGCGGAGTTAGTCAAGGACTGCAAGGTCACCTGAATGGTGTTAAGTGCGATGTTACACACGACACGGTCTAACCTCGCTCTAACAGCAGTGTGACCAGGAGGCCGCGAGGAATCTAAGGGGCAGTGGATGTGTCTGGTGCCAGGAGGTGCCTCTATACGTGCAGGTCTGCGAGAGTCCTGAACACGCTACCCGGGGACATGCCGAGACTGACTTCCTTCCAGAAAAGGCTGGAGACGATTCTCAGATCAGTTCCCCAAACGAGCTTGATTGGCAAATGTCCTCAAAACGTTCTTCCCGAGGAGACCTGTAAGCCGGTTCCGAGCGACGTTGTGGCACAGTATCTGCTGGATTTTCATTAGCCACTTGTTTGTGCTTTGAGCGGAGGTTACACAGGGCAAAGGGGGAAACTCATCTTGCTTTACTTACCGATTTTCACTCTTCCTCTCTCTGGCCCCTCGCCCATTACCAGGATGTTGGCTGGCTTCTGAAAGGGCAAGAAGAAGGTGTCTTAGACACTGAGGGTTTCTTTCCCGGAAGCAGCCAGTCCCCCAGCTTGCTCACTGCGCAGCACGTTCCCGGCACACAGACACACTCCATTTACATCCTGAGGACAATTGTTTTTGCACTGCACACCGTGTGAGACACGGTGAGAGATTAACTTGTAGTTTTACATTCTTCCAAAGTCTGAATACAGTAAGCAGAGACAAAGAAGTGTGGATATTCTCAAAAGGCAGGGGAAAAAAAATATTTTTTCTATTTATGAGAATGACAACCATTTGATTTCAGCTGAAGGACAAGAGGCCCCTAAAAATGAACACTTCGTCCACTTCCACACAGGCCTGTGTTACGGAGGCATGAACACAACATGTGCAGCCTGCTTTGGTCCACATCTTGCAGAGCTGGCCGATGAGGAAAGGTCACATGCAGGTGACCCCAGGGCCACCGGCAGCCCAGAGTCGTTTGTGCTCACCCAGAAGAGGGTACATACTGTGCCAAGGGCTGACGCAGAACTTAATGGTGCAGCTCAACAAAGCACAGACATTTATACCGTATATTAAAATAGTAATTTATCATAATGGTTACTACAGAATGAGGGCAAATAATCTCTTTTCTTCTGCTGCTACACAGCCTCTCCCATTCTTGATGTTACAACAGAAGTGAACCACTGAATTGGATTACAGCTGAAGACAACACAAACATTTAGCCCGGGAATAAGACAGAAAACAGTCACTGATTTTTTTTTTATGTAATCTCAGCCTGAAATGCCATCCTTTATGAACTGAAACCATCAAATGAGGTATAATGGCTCAAATAAACATTATATGCCAGATGTACAGATAATTACTAGATTATCTGTGTGTCAAATGTCTCATGTAGCAGTGATCTTAAAGTGACACTTCCTAAGAAGTGAGAAAAGCTATGGTGGCAGAATGTCATGTAGGTGAGCACTGTCTCGCAGCTCTTGAGTGCTGGGTTCAATATTGGGAAACCTTCTGTATCGAGTTTGCATGTTCAACACGGGGTTTTCCCCTGGAGTTAGTTTCCTCCCAGTCAGATGACAAACTAAGAATGACAAAGTTTCCAGCTACACGAAGATTGATCCATTGTGTCAGATTGCGTTCTTATGAATTGGCCTATCTTTACATTAATAAGCTTCAGCCCTGTCTGGAATCAGACATATAATAGCAAGTTGTTAAGTCTGCCCTCTGTACGTTTTCTCTCCCTCTCTGCTGGCCCTTTCCTGGGAAAGACAGCCCTGCTCTGTTCAATTGGGTTGATATAATTATCCCTGCCTACAGCTGTACTCTGTTGCTGGGCTGTCAGTCACCATTCTGGCTCAGCGACTGACCAGCCTGGTTTCCTGGATGAGCCACAACAGGTCCTTCCTACAGACACCTCCCAGGGACATCGCAGGTGCACGACCACAGAGAGTCAGGACCTCGGTTTAACATCTTATCTGGAAGATGGAGCCTTTTTTTTTACAGTATAGTGTCCACATCCACTATACTGGGGCATTAGGACACACATAGACTGCAGGGTGAGCGCCTCCTACTAGCCCCATTAACACCTCTTCCAGCAGCAGCCTTAGGTTTTCCCAGGAATCTCCGATCTAGGTACTGACCAGGCTCACACTGCGGAGCTTCAATGGGCAACCAGCTGTCAGCTTCAGGGTGATATACTGTAGTTGTAGTCAATTTGTATACTGTCCAATGTGTAAAATAATCAATACAGCTCTGAAATTCAGAGAGAGAGAGAGAGACCCTAAGGCATATGGCAACAAATATTTAAAGAACATTTGGAAGGAGACTGTCAATGTAATCCTGGATTTATGGAACGCTGTCCAGTGACAGTCAGGATGCACAAAAGATTTTTACCAAGGACATGAAAATTAGTTTCAGTCTATTTACGGTACATACCTTCCCCCCTCACATACTGAGCACTGAGGATTAATAGTGCCACTCTGCACTGAAAAAACTCAACAATGCAAAATGTAGGAGACTCTGGCCTTCTTCCATTTCAGGACACTCCCTGTCAGACACCGTGTTCTGTCTGTGATCCCGCATGTCGCCTCCTACTCATCTTCCTCTCGGAGCAGGGACTGTTACTATGGGAACGGCCCTACTAACGAGCTGCATGATGCAAATGTACGAGGCACCAGGCTTTACTGCGCTTCAGAGAGTCTGCTCTTGCAGGTGGTGCAGCGCACACAAACGTGGTGCCCGAGCCTTGGTGAGCAGAGGAGTCTTTCATGGGAAAAAAGGGGGGAGCCTACAGTCAGGAATGAAAGTTTTCCTTCGGGTGATTCGTGGGATTTTCTCCCTAATTCAGTGTGATACAGAGGTGCTGTACATTGAACACCTGAATGGACATCAGGTTTTGTGCAGCTGAGGTTTTTAAGCCACGAGTATTAACACCCGACAGGCTGTCAGTAAGAAAGCCAAAGAACCAACAGGCGAACGCAGCTCACTCTTAATACAACAGCTTCGAGACTAAACCGGGGTACTGTGGGAATAGCCAGGAACTTTGCTGTTGGTTTCCTGAGCTCCTGCAAAATGAACTTCTCAGACAGTGAATTTCAGAAGTTAGACAAAAAATGCATTCTTCAGAGCTGAAACACTGACAATGAGTTTTAAAAAGCTTGCAATATTTTAGGAACTCCCACCCTCCTTGCTAGGAGACCTTAAATAGTGTATATATATAAAAAATTCAATGGATGGTTTGAATAAGAATAGAAACAATTGTGGTAAAATTGCACTATCACTTAATGCCACCTAATAACATCACTTCCCTTTTCCCTTTCCATGTTTCTAATGATGTCTTCCACATTGATACATCTATAGTTCACTTCAGTACTGTTGGAGAAATTTCTTTTCAAACATTATCCATTGCTTTTCTAAACTGGGGGAAATGCCTTTTACCAGCTAATGCCTGTCTGATGTCAGTAGAGCCAGTAATTGTGCACACACTACGTGAAAAAGTTCTAACTGTTAAATAATATTCCCCCCCCCATTAACTTTAAAAAGTAATGCCTTATACATGTAACTTGCAGCTGTAATGGACTGCCTTTTAAAGTAACTTTCCCCGACACCGTCCGTTCTCGCACGCTGCCGGGCTGTGCCCTTCTGACAGACGAGTAAGGATTCTGGTGGATGCTGCCGTGCTTCAGTCGGCTGTAGCACCTCATAAAATCCGGGCTGGGCTGTGCTGTCACCCTCAGGTCATTCATGATGTGCCATGCGGTCTACCCCCCCCCCCCCCGAACACCCTGCCTCAGCCCCCTCAAGAGGAGCACGTTCCCCGAGCGTCATGTGAGCTTTCATCTGCTCTGAGCTCAGAGGAGCAGGCGAGTTACTACAGAGCACACGGGATGCCAAGGAGGTCGGGGTTTGTTACATAACAGCATCAGCGGACCCACAGGCCGCTTGGAACAGCGTGTGTAAGAGAAAACTGGTAGAACACTGACACGCCGATACCAGTGGCCGGCTCGGCCCTTTGTTGGCAAAATCGCCCACAATGACAGCGAGCCCAGAGGTGCTGGGGGCCGGCCCTCCCCCTCGCTCCACAGGCCGGCCTGCCGGAGCCGGTCGATGGCGTATCCCCCCACTCAGCACGGGCAGCCCGGGCCGCTGGCGCCGGCGCCAGTCACGTGCTCTCATCCCGCCCGGCCGCAGCGGCTGCGGCGCACAGAAGAGACAATCTACTTCCCCACGTTGACTGAAGGCCGCCGCTCCGCCTTCGCGCAGAACAATCAGTCCAGCCCTGCAGACATGACAAGCAGCACTGCGGCCTTCAGGCCGACACATCCGAAACAGCGCCGCGCGCGAGAAAGAAACGACAGGACGTGTCACAGAGAACCAGCCGATGCTTCTGCCGATCAACTTCTAAGCAAAAATGATTCTTTCCAGGATTTAAAAGGAGCTGTTTTTCTATCTGCGCTCTGTTTTGTGGAAAGATGGAAGATATTCCGTTTGGAGAGAACAACCCTCCTTAACCAACCTCTGTTCAGTGGCACTGAGAACGCCCTTGCAAAGCGTGTTCAAGTTTCAAGTTTCAAGTTTCAAGTTTATTGTCATTACACTCATATACATGGTATATGGTATAACGAAATGCTATTTAGCTGGCTCTCGGACATAAGTAGTACAAAGAGAATATCTGATGTCTGATGAATATCTGATGTCCAGTCATGATTTTCTCCAGCAGGGAGCAGGGACTCCTTATTCCTCTTATGACATATGAATGATCCCCTCTGTGCCTGGATGAATGCAAGCTGTTTCCTCTTTAGTGAAATGGCCTATCCAGAGTGGCAACATATGTGATAATGATATTCACAGGCATGGCCTTCCTGTTCCAGACCTGCCCTAATTCACTTACACCTGACTGATCGACTTGCATGACACAGGAAGCCACAAGTGCACAGCTGGTTTTATGCAACAAAAGCACCGATAGGAATACTTTCAAATAATGAACCTGTGGTGGCAGTTGTTCAACATCCTACTTTTTTTTCCGCAGTCCCCAGAATTGCACACACGACACCATAAGAAATACACAGACCGAACCTGTTGGGGAAGGTAATCACTTTGAACACAAGAAGAGAGAAAAAGAACACACACTCAGAAATCACAGTATAGAACAAAAACAGTATAGATAGCAGAACTGGCTCAATGCACACACTATACTCCAAAATAAATTATCAGCATTTTGGCAACAAACCTTCTTCAGGACAAGCTGATAAAGGCTTGTTTCCCCAAATGCGGAAAATTAATTACATTTATTTTGGAGTATAAAGTGCATGTTCAGCTGACCCTTCTAATTAAGTCACTTTGAATGACCTTCCAAACATAAAAGGCAAGCTTAAAAAGAGAAAGTACACATTTCAGAGGCCCTTTGACTTACATGTGAAACTCATACAGAGCCACAATCGCAGGAAGAGAAGGCAGAATGTTTACAATAAAGGAACCTTGATAAATGATCAGATCTGTTTAA